ATAATTAAGTTTTTTTAGTATATAGTATATTTTAATAGAATAACTTCTATTTTTGTATGAAATAAAATATATTAATATTTAATTTTACTTAAATAATATAAAATTATTTAGTAAAAATATAAAATATCATAGCAATGCCTTGTATTTTATTTAAAAAATACAAAATATCGATAACTTACTTGGTATTATTAAAAAAAATTATAGATTCTAAAAGATAACAACACTCTTACATTATATTATATGCCTCTAGATATATTTGGTTGAATCTAAAGTTATCTAAAATAAAAAAATTATGGATTTTATTATTAATATTTTTTAATTAGATAAAATTCTATAATATAATTATTGATTCAAATATATACATATATATATATTGATTTCAATGTGTTTGCAATACATTGTCTTTTGTCTCAATATAATCATTACTTAGAATAATAAATAAAAAAAATTATAAATAAGTAATATTTTATTAAATTATATTTGATATAATTATAATAGTAAATATATCTAAAGGCATAAAAAGATTAATATGATCTTCTATTATCAAATTCATCAAGAATAAAAGCTTCTATTTTATTTCTAACAATCTTTTATCTTATTACAATTTCATGTATATAATTGGATTCTTATTCCAAATCCTTTGATAAAAATTTTAAATATAAACTTTATTTTATTATTTTTAAAGATATAAAATCAATTTAATTGTTATGTATAAGAATTCTAAAATCATTTAACTTTTTGTATTCAATCCATAAGAATGTTAAAAAAATTGCATGATTTTTTATTTTTTACTATTATTTATTTTTAAATTATTTTTAAAAAAAATGATTCATAAATTAATAAAAAAAATTAAAATTAAAAAAAATATACATATATATATATATATATATATATATATATATATATATATATGATACAAAACTATACGTATTTAGAAATAATATTACAATCATAAACATAAAAATTTCTTATAAAATAAAAAAAATATTAAATAGCTTTGTTTTAAAAAGAACATGGATGTAGAAAATCTAAGTCCTAAAAATATATACATTAGTCTTAATAAATTATAAAGGTAATAGATAATAACATATATTTTAATACCAATTGCTTTGGCATTGTTGTCAACTTTGAACATTGGCTTATATCAAAATGTATCAAAGATATAAGATTGTCCAATTCTTTAAAAAATTATGTCAATTTTGAATATTTACTTATGCCAAAATGTATCAAAGATGTAAACTTGCTTATTTATTTTAGGCAATAATGTCAAATTTGAACATCTACTTATATCAAAATGTATCAAAGATGTAAGATTGTTTAATTCCTTTTATAATGTTATCAACTTCAAGCATTCTCTTACACAAAATGGTTTTTATAGATATGAGATTACATAATTCTTGTGGCAATGTTGTCAATTTTAAACATCTTTTTAAATCAATTTTTTTTTAAATATGTAAGATTATCCAATTCTTTTGGCAATGATATCAACTTTGAGCATCCACTTACATTAAAGATACAAGCTTGCCAAATTTCTATGGCAAATTTAGTCTTTCTCTTTTTGTTATTTTTACCAATATTTCATCTATATAATAAGTAACACCAAGTAGATCTTTTTTTTAAAGAATTTTTGAACATGTTATTTCAAATGAAGAAACATTTGCTTCAAATAGACATGATTTTATTGATTTTTATTATTCAATATTTTAAAAGCAGAATATTTTGGTATACTATATATATATATATATATATATATATATATTTCTTTTTTAATTCTTTTTAACATCAAATTTAAAAGTACCAAAGATACTTTTTCAATAATTTTATGTTATAATTTAATCAACAAATATTTTTTTTATTTCTAAAATTTATGAATATTTTTTTAAGCTTCAAGCTATAATGTGTATTTTTTATTTTATGCAAATAATACATTCTTTTTGCAGTTTGATGCAAATACCAATCAATTGAACATATAATATTGATTTTTTTTTTCAACTTTTCAAATTCGTTTCCAATAATTTAGATACTATATACGACTTTTCAAATCTAATTTCTATTACAATAGATTAACAAATCTTACTTGAACAATCTTTTACAACAAAAAAATAAAAAAAAATAAAAAAAAAATACTTACTCAGATTTTGATGGAGAAACTTGCTAAGATAGCTACTTCAATGTCTATACAATCTTTCAAAACACTTACTATTTTTGTTGCACTCAAGATCTTAGACTACAAAAATTTGAAAACATTTCCAAAATTATTTTTGCCTATGTACTTACTAGTTTGTAAAAAATCAATATTCTTTTTAAAATTCTAAGATATCCAATTCTCTTTCTTCAATAAGACACATGTCTTTCTATTGTTGTTCTCACCTTAAAAAAAAAAATCATAATTTAAACAAGTTTCTCTCACAAACTTATATATTGCCCTTTAATCAACAAACTTTCATTTTTCAATAAAATATCTATTTTATCAAGAAGATTTTGACCTTGAAAAAAAAAAACATCTTCTACACTTATATATTCTATTTTAATATTGAAGAAAGTCCTTTCCTACAATTAATTTAATCATTAACAAAATTAAATTATTTCAATATCAAATTTAATCATTCTATTATTTATCCAACTTATTTTTATATATTTACTTCATAATCTAATCACAAGTTTGCATACAATTCTTGTTATATATTGCACAATTGATCCAATTTACAAGCACAAATCATTTTTCCAAGATTAAAATTTCATGCAATCTCTAATAAAGAACTCATTTCATAATTTGTTACTTTAATTTCAAATTCCTACATATTTTTATACACAATCACAATCAATTTCACTATTCTCAATGCACTACATTATGAATACTTTAATTCTTAATTAATGATTACAGTAAAAAAAAAAAAAAAAAAAAAAAAAAAAAACATCACAACAACAAATCGATCACCAAATATTTGTGCAAAAAATATTTGTGCAAAAATATTTGTGCAAAAAAAAATTAATTTAATCTTTCAAACCAATTATGTAAAACAACTCTACAATAACAATACAATAACAATTAGAGATGAATCCCCACCATTCAATTGGACAAGTTACAACTTACTATGTGCAGATCTCAATTTAAAAACTTCTACAATTCGAACCACTCCCACAAACCGCATTTCACAAAAAGTACAACCAAGAGGTTTTAACACCAGCATACCACATACATTGCCTTTAATTTTTTGATACCGTAAATTCCCTAGCAACTATCGATTTCAGTATCATTTGAAAACCAAATACCAAATGACAATATCCATCACTCAATATCTCAAAGCAGTAATTCACATGGAATCACCCTAAATCATACACCGTCACCATTGATCATCCTTTGACTGGCACTTTTCTACACAACCCACAACATGAACACCAGTCGCCACAACTGCTCCGCATGACTAACACCAAAACTAACGAGCAAAACCCAAACTCCCTCCATCGCATGCAATCTTGACTGGATAGCAGCATTAAAAAGAAAGCCCACGTAGACCCAAGTAAATCAACTGCTCCATCGCTCACCAACTGATGGTGTGAACCTGCACATCGAGCCTCGCCGTAATCCCTCACCGACACATGCACTCCAGCAAAGCCACTCTTCATCCGCAACGTCCAGGTAGGGCTATTATCACTTCAATACACAACTATATCCATACGTCATTCTCCCCAGAGCTCTGCACTGCTCGTGAATCACCACAGCAAGGACTGCAAACCAACCTGATGTTTTACGTTCATATTGTCAAGGGCATAACAAGGCTATACCAATCACACGCCAACTCAATACCACAATATGTTGCCAGATTCCCAAAACCCTAATTCTACTGTTGCTATGACCCTTAACTCCACCACAGGGATGAGGTGGGCATAGGAAAGAAGCTACGATGCCTAGATAGCTCTGAATTACGGGCCGCATATTTTGATTGACATAAGTGGTGCAGTTACTGAACCTAGCTCTCCTTACAGCGAAGGCTACATTCGGTGAATATATCCAATTTCATCCGATCGCATCGAAAACATGAAACCCGCAAAGAACACCAGCATCTACAGCACCAAACATCCCACGTTTCGAAAACTCCACCACGTCAGTCGATTACCAACACTGCACAAAGCACACCATAACGTGTTCATTCCGGCGGCAAAACCATGCAAGAAAGTACAGACTCACAGTGATAGGACTGGACAAAGTCCACCTTCGAGACACTGGAGACACGACCTGGATTGTGGTTTCTCCCGCTCATTCTGCTAGATCTAGCTTCCCCACTGTCCAGACAAATCTCCACGGGACCCGCTTCACAAAACGCTCGCCTTGCACGCAGCAATACTCATCCAGAACGCTCACCAGATCTCAAGCCTCGCCACGAACCGTTACCAACACATGCTCTCGAGCAAAGCTACTCTTCGTGCGCACCGCCCACCTCGGGCTGTCCATCACCTTATTACTGAAGATCGCGTCAAGGCATTGACGATGGAATCCTCCAATACTTACACACGCATCAAGCCGCTCAACCCACAACATCCTCAGCAGACCACCTCAGCTACATTCTACCACGGCACCATGCGTCCAACTAGCAGTGCAAATAGCTTCTGGTGAGGTCAAGGAGCAGAAAGTCTGCACAAGCCCAGCTTGTCGGTGGTCGGTACTGGTTGGTAGCCGACCTCATCCGAACAAGGTTCTAGCATGATATCAGTACTAATTGGTGGCCGGCCCTCATCCAGGTGATGGATAAGAAGGCGGCGTGGTATTGATGCACTTCGACGTATTGGATTTGTGAATATGCTCGGTTTGCAACAATTTTAACCCAGAATTTCTAACCTTCATTGTTCCAGAGACTGAACTCTGAAGTTGAATTATAAAATTTTAGTCATAAACGAATCTATGTGAGTTTGCGTACACAATACATACATCGATTTAGGTCCTGGCAAGTCCCACACACTACGTATCGAAGACCAACATGATGCAAGCCCTGTTGCGGAAGTTGAACCAAAAAGAAAGACAATAACTAATGTACAAAGTAAAACGCTCATCATGCAATGCCTGCAAGTAACCTTTGAACAGAGCGTTGGAATACGTTGACATCCTGTTCATTGATCACAGTCTTACAATTTCTGACAATCTCACCAGAAATCGTGAGTGGGGCGAGTGTCAACCTCTACTTTGCACTAAATGCAAATCTTCAGCGTCTCCTTGCTTCCGCATGCTATTTGTTGCGGAGCTACCTAATGAACCCCAAGCACAAGCGAAATCGGATAGGAAATGCAAAGAATAGCTGCCTTACTCAACAATTCTTAGTAAAAAATGTAACATCTTCGCAAACTCATTCACTTAGCCAGCCTCACGCAGCTGCAGCTGGAGGAGGTGGATTGCTGCTGTTACGCCTGGGTGCTCTTTGGCCTTCAGGGCGTCTCTCACTGTTACCTGGGGCACTTCCATTGTTTGATGAGGAATGCCCCGCGCGAGCAGGGCCAGCCCCACGTCCTCCTCTGCTTCCGTCCCGTTCCCGTGCGTCTTGACCTGCGCCCCTTCCGGGGTTCCGTTCATGGTATGACCCGCGGCCTCTAGCTGCTTCGCCACGATCATTCCTGTCTGACCGATATGGACGATCGTTCTTCCCGTCGTTTGATCGTCGTGGACCTGCCAAGTGCGCAAAACTGTGAGACCAAGATTGAGTGTACCTCCTTTTTGTGCGGTTCGACGTTTATCGACAAAATTTCACATGGACAATGAAAAAAGAGAATACAAAAAACAATAAAAAATGGAATCATTGCAGAGACGATCTTTCTCGGCTGAATTTACCTCTTGCCATTGGCTTCTTTTCCTCGATGTGGACTTGGCGACCATTGATTTGAATAGGAGAAGCCTTCAAACACAACAAGAATGAAAGTCATTCAGCAGCTTGTACGGGGATATTGGTTAAAAGTCATTCCGGTGGGAGTTCACAGAAGGCATTCAAATGCTAAAAAATAGACTTGTACCTCGATAGCAGTTTGCGCAGCAGTTGTGTCCTCAAATTCGACAAATGCATAGCAAACGCCTTGCTGTTCAAAACCAGAGTATAATCCTTTAAATAACCCACATAGTAGGCTCTTCCCTACGTCATACAACGAAACGGATTTCTCACACGCGACCAGAACTGGAAGGCAAGTGGGATCCAAGGTTGGGGACCCAGAACATTCCATTCACCGCTAACAATTACAAAAACCAAATCGAGTCAAGTAACATGATACTGAGTAAGGGTACCTTTTGGCTCTTGACATTGACTCCGTTCGGTAAGACACGTCCAAAACTAGCAAGTTCCTTCTCCAGTTCAGAAGGAGTGATGAACATTGGAAGATTCTTTACGTAAACTGAGCGCCCATCCGCTGCATGACAAAATAGCGCATGACGTCTCAGCGAAACTATAAAGTGGCAGGAGATGCATTCGAGGATGGGCTACGATCGAGTTCTGGTGCTATATGGTAGTCATATAAACCCTCTCATACCCACCATGCCTCAGTAAACGAACCAACTCGCGTCCAAAATAGAATAGCGTGGAAGAAGTTGCATAAGTCAAGAACATTCAATCACCAAATTTTCTTCACAAACATACAAAAAGTATGCTTCGCGTCATGTACAACAAATATCCAAAAAGAATTTCACTTACAGGCATTTTCAGCAGGAGCCACATCCTCATGACTTTCTTGAGATGGTGTAGCTAAAGTCGCAGCCGGTACAGATGCAACCGCTGGACGCTCAGCAGGAGGTTGAGCCGCCTTGGGAGGAGGGACTCCGATTACTCTCAACTAAACAGCGCGGCAAGAAGACTGTCTCAACACGACGACGAATCCGCGAAACCAAACTCATAGAAATCACACAATTGTCAAACGATGTATCACTGCAGAACCTCATAACACAAGGTATTGTTACATTGTTCCTTACGATTAAAGGTACAAAAACTTACGATGGATGCGTATGATATCTTAGGCTGCTCACCAACTGCTTTCGACTCCTGCACAACCGGGTGAGTCTCCCTGATTGGAGTTGTTTGAACCATTGGAGACTCAGGCTCTTCAATCACGGGAGAGGTATTGTCCTCGATAGGCGCAGGGCCAGTGAGTTCCTCCTCTTCGGCTCCAGTAGGTCCCTCATCATCGAATACCTCCTGAGCTGTCGCCACGTTCGCAGGAGTTGGTTCGGGTGTGACTTCTCTCACAACTTCAGGCGCCGGAGCTGGGGTGGGCTGCTCCACAACTGCGCAGGAAATTGAAAATATCAAATAGAATTTCAGGGAACTTGAATCGAATACTAAGAACTGCTGGAAGCATATTCGACGAAAACTATCAGCTGTGCTTAATAAGCTGCACGTCAAGAACTAGATATTAAATTCAAACACTGTTCAGAGTAAAAAATAAACAGAAAATGAGAAACAGACAGGCAGAATACCTACACGTGGAACTGTGCTCAGGTTCAATCCCAAAAGCCAGTGAAAAAAAAAAAAAAAAAAAAAAAAAAAAAAAAAAAACAGATACCAGAGTGCGGATACAACCAGAGTGGCACAAATACCCCCAAAAAAATAGATATGTACCTGGTTCTGAGGCCTGCGGGTGCTCCTGCTCGACTTCCGGAACACCATTGGATTGAAATGGGACAGCTATTGTTTGCTGCTGGACCTCATCATCGAGGTAGCGGAACACGTCATTCAAAACAAAGTAGCCCTTTTCCTGAGGGGCCAAAAAGAAACTTTGCACAAAGACTCTCTTTCCAGTTGATTTGGTAGATAGAGAACCTGTGACGAGAACTAGAACTCCACCATTGAGTGAGTCCTGGGAATCAACGGTCTTAATCTCTGCCTTGAACTTGCTGTAATCTGAAGACATCACCTTCTGGTGAATTTGCTGCAGAAAAAGTATGTTCTTAAAACTTTGAAAGGAAACGTACCATTCTATGCAAGTCTTAGATTCAAACATAACTACATACAAGACTACCAACCTTGATCGCATAGGCATAACCAGCTATAATATGAATCAAAGGTTGAGACAGCGTGCTTAAATTACGAACTAAATAATCACTACAGAATCTTAGTGTTCATTGTTCTAGCAATGAATGCCAATAACGGCACACCAATAAAAGCTGAAATAAAAGAGCCCGAGTACAAACGAATGAACACTTCATCTTACAGACTAAGCGTTCAAAGTTAGTACTCACGTCTTGGGTATGGGCGACATCCACAGCTCCATCAGCTCCCGCCTCCGCTCGGGTCATGTGACTGGAATCGGTGTAAAACCGATGTACGACTTGTGGGGATTGGTGTAGGACATTGTAGTACTGGTTCACAAAAGCATTTCCGACCTGCTCCACCAAAAGATCAAACTTCTTCAATAGCTAAATCACAGCTTCAAACAATTACATCATTTCTACGAAGAGAGGATTACATAGATACTCGCAGTCAAAACACGCCGTGTAGGATGAGTTTATTATTCAGTTCCTTTAGCCTGCCGCAAACTATACATGCATGATTGTGAAAGGATGAAATCAGAAGGTAGCTGTGAACAATTGCAACAACCAACCCTCCGTACAGAAAATCAGACATTCCAAAACACAATACCAAACTTTTATATGCGGCTGAAACTTACAACTTGCGCCGTTGCCACTGGGGCCGCCATGAGTCCTGCCCAATGCAATCACGGATTAGAATTTCCAACCAACCGAAACCAGGACATTGAGACCGAGAACAGTGCCACCTCATTTACTGGTAACCAGATTGAATCCTCATGAATGAAGTACTAGACTCCATTCGGATGTCGTGAATCTAATACACAGATGCTCTTCGGTTGAAGAGACGTCCCAAAAGCACAACTTACAATTTAATTAATCACCAGAGATACATTAAACCAACAATGTTGCAGGTTGTCTTACAACATACCATCTTACCGTTCGTTGTGGATCATGGCAAGGTACAGAAACCACCAGAGTACACCTTATCTATGTTGTATTAAGTGGTGTAATAGCTACCACCTCAAAAAACTAAATCGTCTCAAAAATCCAATCTTACAAGAAACATAAAATTAAGAGAAGTATATCATGCGCTCCCATCAGGCTAAATGACAGAGCTTACCTCTTGAGATACAAGCCCACTCGTCCAAATTTCGCCAATACTTCGGAACTCCAGGTCTACTCGAAGACTGATGGCTTAACTACAAACCAGGAAAACAATGATCCACACAAGATCACCGCTGCCCTACCGCCACGACTTAAAAGCTACCCCTGACACGAAATAACCATGATCGAAACGGAACTCATTCGGCAGTCCACGGATCCACTGCCCGATGAACTACACGGAATCTCCCTTCGAGGTACACCACAGACTCAGCTGAAATTTGCCAAAACTAAACCCTTCTTGAAAGAACAAGCCTCCAAGCGACCCGCCCTGACACATTCGAATCGATAACGTAAACCACAAACGAAATAACTTTTTATTAAAAATAAAAAATAAAAATAAATCAAAAATTACAAATTTATAACACAAGTGCTTTCACCTGGCCCGATAACTACGAGAGCAAAGGGGGATGTAACACTAAGATCGCCGATACGGATACCAGAAATGCTGTTGAATCAACACGACAGAGAGCGGAGAAAAAACCGAACAAGTTCTTTTACATGGAGGAGGCAGTGGATCGAGGACAATAATGGGAGGCAAGCGAGCGCGGGATGGGCTACGCGCTTGGCTATTGACAGGCACAAGCGGGGCCTGCGTAGCGCGGCGAGCTGCGATGCAGTGGAGAGAGGGGAAGTGTGATGGATCTGAGCAATCAGGGGTAAGAAAAGCAGGTGATGCAAGAATCAAGCCCTAAAATCTTCTCCCCGACTTGGCTCCTTCTCCGGTTATGAGCCGTGGATGAATCTGTTTCATCCCTTTTGATGGAATCTGTTCGTGAATGGAGTCTGACGTGGCAGTTGAGCGGAATCTGAGTTTGCGTTCGTGCTGACGTGTGAAACAAGAATGCCAGGACCTCCGCCTATGTTGTTAATAAAGCTACCATGTGATTAAAATTCCAATAAAAAAGTAAACAATACAATATTATTAAACAAGAAAAAAAAATGGTAAAGAGGTTTAAGCCTTGCTATTTTGATAATTTAAATTTCTATTTTTGTCTTAATTTTCCCTTAACAAAAGTCAACTTTGACTATTTGTAAAGAATATTTTGTTTGAAACTTGAGATACCAATTTGCATGGTTTTGTGTTCATACTAAGCTTTGTGGAATTGTCATAAGAATGCATCATGAATGTGGATGTATCAAACATTTGTTTCTTGTATAACAAGCCTTTGTACATAATTTTTAAGTAAATACAATAGTACAGAATACAATAGTACAAAATATTGTAAACAATTTTATTTATAATTCATAATTGATATTTTGATTGAATTTTGAGTAATTGGTAATATGACAATTCATTTGTAAAAACAATGTTACATTAAGTTCATTAGATTAATAAAATAAAATAAAATGGCTCTAAAGATATTCTTTAATAGAGATACACCATAGAGCTCTCTTTGAAGGTTGAAATGATTTTTGTTTGTTGTTTAGATGGTTCTTGAATTAACAAAAGTGCAAGTAAAGCTTTATAACTTTAGTATTGCAATCATGTTTAACGTTGCTATATATGCAACTTTGATGCATTGTTGCAATTGACTTCTATTATTGATTGCATATACATTTAAAATATAAAATATTATGTTATGTCTAAAATAAGATACAAAATGTTTTACATCTTCAATATATTATTGTACATGTAGCTATATATAATTAAATCTGTACTATTATCACAAAAAATATGTAAAGAAATAATTAATTTTGTTATCAAATTCCATAATTGTATGTAACCAAGTTCCATACCTCACTTCATAGTGCAACTAAGTATATTTTTGACCTTGATGTGATTTGGCTAAGATACAAAAGAATATTCACTTTAAGTCATTAGCTATTGTTTCGTTACTTGTCACATCAAATGTTGCTTCTTGTCAAAACTAAGTACTACCATAAATTACTGCACGTAATACTTATTGGAGATATTATACCTTCAAAGCTCTGCATGAATCCATTCCAAAATGTTAAGTTCATAAACATGTTTCAAATGTTGTCATAGAAATCTTCAATATTAGAATCAAAAATTCATGAATAATAAAGGACTTCAAAGAAAACTTCTTGATAAGGGCCAAATAGGAAAGTACATTTTTCCAAAAGATTCACAATAAATGTCACAGATACACTATACAAGAAACCAAACAAGAAGTTGAACATAAGAATTTCAATAAAAAAAAACTAACAAAAACTTTATTAAATTAGATGAGTACAAGATCAATACCAAGAGAAATGAGCTAATATCAAGAATATATATATTTACTCTAATATTTACATATATGATTAAAGTGAAGTATATAAAGTAGATTTATTTCATAATATTTTTTAGAGATGCTTCTTAGAAGCTTCATAGACGTTGTTTTGACTTTACATGTGTTTGTAGTTGATTGATAGATTAGAAACTTAGATAACAAGTTAACCACGTGTTGGTTGCTTGTGGAACAAGCTATCTATGTGGTACACATGTAGAAAACTTGTCTTATAAGTTAAATTATGTATCTTGCAAAGGCAACATGTTTTGGAGGTCCTATAGGATATTGCCACATAACTCTTAGTTAAGAGTATATATAGAGGCAAGAATGAAGCTTTTTTTATTCTTGCCAATGCCTTTTTAATTCTTAATCATATTTCAAGACTTTCTAATCTTCTTGTCTTTAGCAATAGCCGTTTTAGTTTAATACTATATCATCTTTTAGGGATTTCTTAGTCTTTTCAAGTGATACAAGAATATATTAAAATTTTAATTCTTTGAGATTCATGTCCTTAATAATTTGATAAAAATACTAATTTATTATTCTTGACTTGTTTTAAAAGTGAGTGGATTATCCCACTTCTATTGTTGTATTTTGAAGGTTGCAAATTATCTGCCTTTAAACAAATTGTTTAATTTTCTAACACCAATTTTTTTCCTTAAAGAGAGTAGATTATTCTTCTTTGTAGAAATTTTTATTTTATATTAGAAGAAGTTGAGGATTATCTTCTTCTAATTTGACTTGTCGATTTATTAAATTATTTGAAATAAAAAATAAAATCATAGATGAAACACATTATGGAAATAGGAATAGATTTGCAACTATTGCAGATCTTTACAAACTTGTCAACACTCTTAGAGTGAAAATTTCATGCATTATTAGCACTAATCCAATGCCTATAGAAGAAGTTCAAAATTTATGACAAGAAGTTGTGCAATTAAAGGAAGTAAATAGATTGACCTTTCAACCAAATCCAAAAAGTTTTGCTTCTATAAGTATGATAACGATACACATTAGTATCCTCGATATGTTTAATAGAACAAGATCAAAATTTCAAAGATTTCTGCAACAAGTCAAGCTTTATCTAAGCTTGCATCTTTTTCAATATCTTAATGAATTTATTCAAGTTGGATTTATAAGGGAACTACTATCTGGAAGTGCTTTCTCTTGGTTTACACCATTAATAGAAAAAGATTCATCACTCTTTTATGATTTAAATTCTTAAAAGTATTTATGGCTATATTTAGAGATAGTGATCAAAAAAGAATAGTAGAAACTAAGCTCTTATCTTTACAATAAGGATCACAGTCAGTTATTATATATGTTGCTGAATTCTAAAACCTTGCTTACGATATGGACTAAAATGATAAAGCTTTTATCAATCAATTTTGATTTAGATTGAAAGATAATGCCAAAATCTTGTTATTGACAATACTAAAAACAAAATCTTTACATCAATTTATTGCTTAAACCATTGCATGCAACAATTAATTATTTAAAAATTATTTAGAATAAAGACTTGTCTGGAGAAGAACAAGCGAAGTAATGACAATGTCATATTACATGAAGCATTGCTTGAGAATGTACCAAACACCTGATTGTAGAAAGTAGAAGGAATATTGCAATAATAAGATTTTAATTCTAATAGAAATCTAAATAAATTCAATTAAACCTTACCAATGTTAATTAAGCTTTAATCAATTCAAAGAAACCTCAAAGAAATTATGAAAGAAGCATGAAGAAATTCTATAGAAATACAAATGAAGTATTAAAATAAAATCCAAAATATATCTTAAATAAATTCCAACTAAATCTTACTTTAATCCTAGTTAAAATCCTAATAGTCTTTGTTTAAATACTAAGGCAAATTCTAATTAAATCCTAAATAAACTCTAAATCCTAACTAATTCTTAAATCCTAAATCAAATCCTAATCAAATTAACTTAACCTTGGAGCAGTTTAAAACCTTAATATCTATCAATTATACCATTGATCTTGTTTAAGATTTTATACACCTTTCAATAACTAAGTTAGCAACAAGTATACAAAATTTGAAGAAGATCAAACTTACCAAATAAAAGATTAATCCTAAATTTTGCTCGAATGTTGGCCACCCTCCTACTCCAATCTGAATGTTGAACTTCTAGTGCTAATATCTCCTTCTTGAACTATTCCATTGCCTCTAAAATATACTTAAACTATGGGAAATCAAGTCTAGTATCTACATGAAATAATTCACTTCAATCTAATTAAAAAATTGCTAGAAATCTTAAAAATACTTATTAATTTTTAAATTCCAAGTTTTTAGACTTCAACCTAGAAAAACCTTCACATATTTTGATCTAACCATTTAATTGACCTAATAATATTTATATACACTAATAACTAGAATATCAACACATTGTCCAAAATTCACTTGTACAAATACTACAAAACTTAAGAAACCCTCAATTTTATAAACATAATTTTATTTTTCAGAATCTAATCCAACCAAGAACATCACTAATTTTGAAAATCTTCCAAAGACTAAATATTAACTCAATCGACATAAAACCAATGTTCAAAAATCTCTTTACTTGTTTGCTCTCAAATCTTATTTTTTAATCTATCAAAAGACCCTGGAGTCACCATAGATATGTGGTTTTGTGCCTCAAAGTCTGATTTCGATCTAAATTAACAATTGGTCCCCTTTGGATATCAATATTTGTTAATTTGAAATAATTTTTACTTGAATCTATTAGTAACTTTCTTCTAAACATGTCTATATCAATTAATTATCTCATTTGCTTTGATTTGAGGGATTTATGCCCCTACAAAGCAAATAGAAGCTCCTTCTTTAAAAGACAATATTAAGACTAAACTTTTTATTATCTTCCTATTATTTATTTTTGTCTTTCTACTACATCTTCCTACTACTTTTCTGTAATAACATCTATGTTTTTATTTTTTACTATATAATTGTGTTATTACATGACAACAATAGCTCCAAAGTTTTCAAAAACTTATTTATCAAGTCCAGAACCAATATAAATTGATATGATACATTTTAATCTCCTCATTGAGGAAGAAAAGACTTGACGTCATCAAGAGGATTTATGCTTATATTATAGAGAAGCTAAGCATACTACTCAACATGTAATTACAATATAAGGAGTATGATTGCCAAAGAAGACAATGTATCAAAAAACCAGTTTTTTTAGCTATAATATGGATTGTGTAGCTGAAATCATATAAAACTTCTCGTAAAGGTCATATTTTCTCTTTAAATCCTTCACCTTATTTTATGATAGATGTATGTTTAGGACCTAAAAATTACAAAGTCTTTACATTATTAGATTCAATAGACTTAGTCTACTTTATAGACAAAGATTTTGTCAAGAAACATGAAATACCTTTAGTCAAGAAACCTAAACTCATACATGTAAAAGTCATAGATGGTTGT